CCTATTTGACATGTGTCAAGATTGACATTAATTTAATTTCAATGTTTATTGATGTTGTAAACCAATAAGCTCCCTCAAAAAATTTTTTTTGTGAAAAATAGGCCTGATGCAGTGCTTGAACTTAGTCTTAGGAAGAGATACAGCTAAAAAAGTCTCTGTGCTTTCAGGATCTATTTATGACAGGCGGAAATACTGTTTTCCAAGTAATTAAGTAAAAAATGAAATACTGTAAGGTAAAAATAAAAAAGGGGCTACTTTGAACAAAGGCTATATGAGGTGAAGCATGGAAGAGTAGTATGGAATGTTTTAAATTAAATCATGGGTCAGAAGAGAACTGTGTGAACACCCTTTCTTGAATTAAATGGATTTGTTCTTACAAAACCAGGTGATATTGTTAATCATTTTGATGACTACTATGTTGAGGAAGTATCTCAATTAAGGCAGTAAATGAACACTGCACACAAATTTAGATCAAATGAGTATATTAAGAACGTTATAATAAAAGACAAATGTTTTGAATTTGTATTTCAACAACTTGATGTCCATATGGTGGAAAGTTTGCTCCGTTCTCTTCCTGACAGTAAGTTTGCTGGATTAGATAACCTGAATAGCAAACTGCTGAGCAAGACTGCTGGTGTCAGAGCAGCTCCAATCTGTCATATTTTTAATAGTTGTTTGGATATGGGCCTGTGTCCAAGGATTTGGAAGAAGGCTAAAGTTATTTCTTTACCTAAGGATACTACATGTACTTTTAATGAGGGGAACTCTAGATCAATAAATATTTTTTGCCTGCTTTAAGCAAAGTTCTGGAAAGATTGGTACATGCACAACTTCATGATTATTTTTTAACAAACAAAATTTTTACAAACCCTCAACACCCATATAGAGCTGGCCATCCACCCTCTACTTCAATGATTCATATAACTGATGACTGGCTTAAAGCAATAGATAATTCTATGTTAGTATGTGTTGTGTACCTGGATATTAGGGCATTCTTTATTGACATTCTTGACCAAACTTATTTTTTATGGTCTTAATTTGTCTGCATTAAAGCGGATTACAAGCTATCTGTCTTTCAAATCACGAAAGGTTTATCTGAATGGTAGCCTCACCTGTAGGAGAGGTTTGGAGTGTGGAATTCCACAGGGCAGCTGCTTAGGCCCTTTACGTTTCTCACTAATGATCTAGCTTGGGCTACACCAAGTACTAGAACTTTCCTGTACGCAGATGATACCACTTTGTCTTATGCTGCACCTTTATGCAGTATTTTACTTGTCTTAAGCAAACATCTGGAAAGATTGGTACATGCACAACTTCAAGATTATTTTTTTAACAAGCTTTTTAAAAACTCAACATCCATATAGAGCTGGCCACTCAACCTCTACTGTAATGATTCATATTACTGATGAATGTGTACCTGGATATTAGGACATTCTTTATTGACATTCTTGACCATACTGTATTAGTTGAGAAACTTAATTTTTATGGTCTTAATTCTTCTGCATTAAAGTGGATTATAAGCTGTTTGATAGAAGTTTTTCTTTAATGTATTTTTTTTTATTCCAGTAAAGTCAAAAAAATAGACATCTTCACATTTGGAATACAAATTTGAAGACGTTTCGGTTCCCATCCAGAAATCTTTCTCAATTGAAAACATGATTTTTTATTTTTTTTTTTTGAGTTTCTTGCATAAGAATTCCCTTAACAGAAAAACATAAATAAATAAATGTGGTTGACTAGCTATTGCTAAAACTTTTCTAGTAGAGTTTGTTGTGTTCAGAGTCAAGAGAGCCGTGTCTCTCTACAGTCAGAGGTTTTTGTACGACGACTTAATCGGTTTGTATCACTGTGGTTGACGTTTGGTGGAGGAACCAGACTGGATGTTGGAAGTAAGTACAATTTTACATTTTCTTTCATGCAGGATACTTTCTTATAAATTTTAGGTAATTTCAGGTTTTGGGAGAAACAGAGCACAGTACTAAAAAAGACATTTTAATATTTAAATTTTCTCTCTGAGTTTTTTTTTAGATATTGAGGCAAAAAATACAAAAGAAAATATTTATGTTTTTCAACCAGAATTAGTTTGTTGTGTTCAGAGTCAGAGAGCCGTGTCTTTCCAGTCAGAGGTTTTTGTACGACGACTTAATTAGTTTGTATCACTGTGGTGGACTTTTGGTGGAGGAACCAGACTGGATGTTGGAAGTAAGTTTCTGAATATTTAAAAATAAATAAGATGAAACAGACTGAGTGTTAAATGTAGATTATTGAAATTGTATAACAACTTTATATCAATCATGTAAAATAGTTTAAATCTTTAAACTTAGAGATTTTGACATCAAAACATGAAGGCTTTTATTATTTTTTTTATTAACAATGAAAACACTTTTATTTTTTTTAAATTGCAGAAATAGAAGTAAAAATTAGAAATTTTATTTAACCTGGTTGAAAAATACAGTATATTAGGTCTACTTCAGTGTAATCCGCCAGAATTATATGTAGAGAAAGAGAGAAAACAAAAACCTTTACTTTGCAATGAAAACGACTGCATCCTAAAATGATGTTTGTTTCTGAATACTACAAATACTTACAACACATACCTTACATTTTTTTCTTACTAATTTCATTCATTATAAAATGGTTTAGATCTTTTGAACATTGCATTATTATCTCTAGTTTGTGTTTTTTTAAACTTTGAAAGTTTCCTTAAAGTTACTTTAGCTAATCAATCATCTTTCTGAAATGAACTAAAAAACTAAAAAGTTTAATTTGTTAACAAAAGTTTTATTCTTCAATGAGAGATTATTAGTTTAAGAGTTAAAATGAGTCATAGTTAATGTTATTGAACTATTGCGAGTGTGTAAAATAGAGAATAAGTGAAATATATTGTTATGTTTAGTTATCCTTTTTATGGTCAGTCAGATATATATTTCAGTTTATTGTTTAGTTTAAATGTCTCTGATACTTTTTAAGGTCATATCAGGGCTCTGTGTGCTGATATGCATGAAAGGTTCCTTTAATGGAAGTGAAACAATCTGTGAAGGAGTGACTGATGGACTGGAAAAAAAAGTTTAACTGAAAATTCTCACAGGGTTTTTTCACTGCTTTCTGCTATTTGACTAACGGCTGTCTGGTTACTGTTCTCTAACCTAATTGGTGTCTCCTAGGTGACACCCGTCCCACCCTGACAGTGCTGCCCCCCTCCAGTGAGGAGCTGCAGCAGGGGAAGGCCACCCTCATGTGTCTGGCCAACAAGGGCTTCCCCTCCGGCTGGAGTCTGTCCTGGAAGGTGGACGGCAGCAGCAGCGGCAGCTGGGAGCAGAGCAGGAGCCCCGGGGTTCTGCAAAAGGACGGCCTCTACAGCTGGAGCAGCACCCTGAGGCTCCCTGCAGACCAATGGAGGAAGGTGGGCTCTGTGACCTGTGAGGCCACCCAGGGCTCCCAGTCTGCAGTCACCCAGACACTGAGGAGAGACCAGTGTTCCCAGTCCTGACCTGATTTACTCAGACAATGATAATGGATTGAATCTGTCTCTGCTCTCATTCTTTCTCTTCTGATTATTCTCTATTTTCAATAAATCATATTTTATTCTTAATTTTGTTCACTATTCAAAATAAAATTACAAACTAATGAACTTCTGGTGTTGATCAATTTTATTATTATGCAAAGAAATTAGCTGAAACTCACATATTTCTTTTTTTGTTTCATTAATCAAGCTTTTATCTGACCGGATTCTTAAATTTAGTTTTCTTACTTTATGTTCAATGTTCCTAAAATTCAGAAATAAATCAAACATGTTATATGAAACAACAGACAACAAACTTTTGGGAACTAGATTTTAATGAAACGTTTCAGGCAAAAGCTTATTTTGCTGTGATTCATTATAACAAAACGTTCCCAAAGATCTAAAAAAAGAAACTCTAAATGTAAGCTGGGATTCTATAAAAGCAGCATTTAACTGACAAAGAAACCAACTTATCTTTAAACAACATTGTTCCAACTGAAATCCCACACTGTCAAGTCTCTTTTGATAACTGAGTGAAAATAATGCACACTTTTATCTCATCCAGACTAAGCAATACTCCAAGTTCCTATGAACTAATTATTAAGTAATATCTTTGTTTATATTAATGCTAAAACAAAAAGACTGAATCAGCATCTATTCTCTGTGTTTAAGGTATCTAAAGAAAGTTAGTTTCATAACAAATGAAACAAACCAAACTAAGATTCAGTGAACCAAAAGTTTTTATATATTTTGTGCTGAATTTTATGCAGATTAAATTTGTCAAATTATTGAATTCATTAACTAAAAATTAAAAACATATTCATAAACTTTTGAATTAGACGTGGAAGTTAATTTATATTCTTGTTTTAATACAGATGCTGATTGGAATAAATTCTGTTAAATCGTTAAAAGAAACTAAAGTAGCTTTGCTGTCATTACTGATTGCTTCGTTTTTATTTTTATCTTTATAAAAAACATGTAAGATATGTTTTGTTGAGTTTCTGTATTCAGAGTTTAATCAGTCTTTTTTTAATCTTAAAAAATAAAAAGCTTTTCCCTTATCATTGTTCATGGTCTCATAAGGCTCCATATTAGGTAAGCCGTTTCTGCCACATTATCGCTACAACATTAAAGAAACTTCTAGAACTGAGCTGCAGGACAGGACAAGATGTTGGTCTACAAAAGTTTTATGTTTAGTTTCATAAATATTTTAAATTAGAATTAAAACAAATTGATGAGTCTAAATATGTTATTTACCTTATTCTTTTGTTTTAGTTCATACAGTTGTTATCAAAGGAATAGCTGGAAGGTATCTAGATATTTTCAGATTCAATACTTTAGTGGTGTATTATTTTTGAATCTTAAAAGTCACATTTTTTCTTAATTAGGCTTAATGTAATATAATGCTGTGTGTTTAATGTGTTCAGTGAACTGTATCAGTCTCTGCAGTAGATCCCAGTTCAGTTTCTGTTGTCAGTCGTTTTTGTACAATGAGTTTTCACTGTGTGAACACATAGTCATTGAGATAACTCTGACAGTAATAAACTCCTGAATCTTCAGCCTGAACTCCACTGATGGTCAGAGTGAAGTCAGAACTAAAACCACTTCCACTGAAACGATCTGGAACTCCAGGCTGACGAGTTGTAGCTTCATATATCAGGAGTTTAGGAGCTTCTGCAGGTTTCTGAAGGTACCAGTGGAGATCATTAGAAACAAAATAACTGGTTTTACATTTGATGGAGACAGTCTGACCCTGAACAACAGACTGAGATCCAGGAGTCTGAGTCGTGATGATGTCTACTGATGAACCTGGAAAACATGGGGAAAAAAAGCGATTGAGAGTAACAATGTTTAATTAAAAATCACTGATACACTGAAAAGATTAAAGAAAGCTTCATGACCTTGTTTCAATAATTCTCCATAATGACAGAATAATTATTTTCATGAAGCTGATTTCTTCCTTAAACCAAGTTCTGAGCAGAGAGTCTCACCCTGAACCAGGAGCTCCAGGATGGTCAGCAGTAGAGTCAGTAACATCATCATTGTGCTGCTGGTGGTTCAGTGGCTCTGAAAGGCCTGGACAGCCTCTGATCAACACTGAGCTCTTAACAGCTGGGAGCAGAGAGGGAGGACACATATGCAAACACACAGAGTCAGTCACATGGAGCTGAACTGGCAGCATGTTTCCTCCTGAAACACATCAACATAATTAAAAAGCAGAATGGAGGAAGTTTGAAAATGTTCTTGTTGATCTTTTATCTGATAGACATTAATGCAGCAACTAAGTGCGTAATAAAGGAAAGAAGGGAGAGTGGGGAAACAACAGACAACAAACATTTAGAAACTGGCTTGATTAGATGTTCCAGTCAAAATCTACAGTATGTTGCTGTGATTCATTATATTACAACGTTCTCAAAGATCTAAAATGGTTAAATCTACATAGAAAACAAGCTATAAATGTAAGCTGGGATTCTTTAAAAGCAGCATTGAACTGACAAAGAAACCAACTTCTTTCTAAACAACATTGTTCCAGCTGAAAGCCCATAATGTCAAGTCTTTTCTCATAACTGAGTGGAAATACACCTTTATGATCACACCTTTATCTCATCCAGACTAAGCAAATCTCCAAATCTGTATTTTAGGGTATATAAAGAAAGTTAGTTTTATAACTATATATATTTGTTGAATTTTATGCAGATTAACTTTGGCAGATTATTGAATTTATTAACTTAAAATTAAAGACATATAAATAAACTTCTGAACTAGATGTGGAAGTTGATTTATATTCTTTTTTATACAGATGCTAAATGGAATAAATTAAGATAAATCTTTAAAAGTGACTGAAATAGCTTTGCTATCATTACTGATTGCTTCATGTTTATTTCTATCTTTATAAAAACATGTAAAATGTGTTTTGTTCAGGTGTTGCATTCAGAGTTTAATCAGATTCCTTTAATGCTTAAAAATATGTAATGCTGTGTGTTTAATGTGTTCAGTGAACTGTATCAGTCTCTGCAGTAGATCCCAGCTGCAGAACAAAGTTCAGTTTCTGTTCAATCAGACTGAGGGAGGTTTTTGTACGATGAGTTTTCACTGTGTGAACACATAGCCACTGTGAAAACTCTGACAGTAATAAATTCCTGCATCTTCAGCCTGGACTCCACTGATGGTCAGAGTGAAGTCTTTATTATTTCCTGCTCCACTTCCAGTGAATCTGGAGGAGATTCCTGAAAATTTGGATGATGTTCCATAGATCAGAGCTTTAGGAGCTTCTCCTGGTTTTTGTTGATACCAGGAGAGGCAGACCTGTGAGCTGTAGCGGCACCAAGATGTTGAAAGTGCCTGACTGACCTTACAGTCTATAGTGACAGTCTGACCAAGCTGCGCTGATTTGGCTGCTGGCTGAGTCACAACAATATTTTGTCCATCAGATCCTTAGTGAAAAAAGCAAATACTGGATATTAGATGAGGCGGTGAAACCCAACTACTCTCAAAATCATTTTCAAATGACAGAAAATGATTTTCCTCACCCTGAGTGAAGCAGAGCAGAGTCCAGATGATGATGCTGATCAAAGTCATGTTTTCTGTCTTCTGTTGTCATGAAGGACAGCTGTCAGTCCTCCAGTGTTCAACTCTCAGGACTATAAACTCTCCCAGAGCACTGGAGCATGGAGCTGCTGATGCAAAGTGGCTCAATGGAAATGATCTGATTCACTCTGACAGGGTTTTGGATTATTCTCATGATGCTGTTTATCAAGAAAAAAGAGAAATCTTTCCTACCTCTGAAAATATGTCATACACTCAAGTGAAAAATTTTAACTTACATAATAATTAAAGATTTTATTTGAGAACCAAGACATAAGCGAAGAAGTAACAATTTTGAAGTATTACTTACAATCTGATTACCGTCATGTTTCTGCACTTTTTGGTTCTTTTAAAGTTTTCTTTTTGAGTTTCCAGCTTCACTTTTATTCGTGTTTTTCTGTGTTTTCTAGTTGTATTGGTTGAATTCCCATTTTGTGGTGTTTTTTGGATGTATTTGAATTCTTATGTATTTCTGGTTTGCCCTCTGTTGCCCTCTTGTGTCAGTCTCCTTTCCCCTAGCTCCCTTCTAGATTCCTCTGTCCACACCTGCTCCCAATCTGCTAATTAGCCTGGTCTTTGTTTCTGCCTCACACATATATACGCCTCCTGTTCATATCCTGTTTGCCTCTTTATTTCTTTCCCCCTCATGTCTGTTTTACTTCATTTAAGCATTTTGTTTGTAGACTTTTACTTCTCTTGCTGTGTTGGACATTAAAGGAATATTACACCCAAAACATGATTAGCCTTCATTTTCTACTCACATCCATGCTTAACAACACTCTGAAGTACTTTTTTGATATCTCAAATGCATCTGGAGATCTGGGAGGCTTCTTGCTGTCTGCTGACATTCAAATAATGGAGGTCTATGGCGCCCGAGGCAGAAAGTTCCATAAAAGTCCACAAAAAACGTGTCAATATTCCTCCATACTGCTCGTCCAACGTATTCCAAGTGTCCTGAGTGGGTAGCGTCCATAATTTACTTGAAACAAAGTCATTTAGAACGTTTTTAGAGCATAAACAGTAGTGTATAGGATTTCCTAAAAGTGCGCGCCTGCGAGTTCGAGGGCCTACGGAAACCGCGGCAGACCAAACCAGATGAAAGTGAGCATTCAGCTCGGCAAAGAACTCATGCTCTTTCTCAACACTGAAGTCCTCAGACATTTTTCTTTCGTTGTTTCTTTCTTTGCACAGGTAAACAGCACATTTCTTCTTCTACGCTTGCATTATCGGCAGAGCAGACGCTGCATGCGCACTTTCATCTGGTTTGGTCTGCCGCGGTTTCCGTAGGCTCGTGAACTCGCAGGCGCGCGTTTTTAAGAAATCCTATACACTACTGTTTATGCTCTAAAAACATTCTAAATGACTTCGTTTCGAGTAAATTATGGACGCTACTTACTCAGGACACTTGGAATACATTGGACGAGCAGAATGGAGGAATATTGACACGTTTTTTGTGGACTTTTATGGACCTTTCTGCCTCGGGCGCTATGGACCTCTGTCAGCAGACAGCAAGAAGCCTCCCAGATCTCCAGATGCATTTGAGATATCAAAAAAGTACTCCAGAGTGTTGCTCAGCATGGTGGTGAGTAGAAAATGAAGGCTAATCATGTTTTGGGTGTACTATTCCTTTAAACTAGCAAGAAACCAATTTAGCTTCAATCTCTTCATTTGGGTCCTTCTAACCTGCACTTTTGCCCTTTTATCAGCTCGAACCATTCTGGCCATTCTCCTCTGACCTCTTGCATCAACAAGGCATTTCCGCCCACAGAACTGCCGCTCGCTGGATGTTTTTTTCTTTTTCGGACCATTCTCTGTAAACCCTAGAGATGGTTGTGCGTGAAAATCCCAGTAGATCAGCAGTTTCTGAAATACTCAGACCAGCCCTTCTGGCACCAACAATCATGCCACGTTCAAAGTCACTCAAATCACCTTTCTTCCCCATACTGATGCTCGGTTTGAACTGCAGGAGATTGTCTTGACCATGTCTACATGCCTAAATGCACTGAGTTGCCGCCATGTGATTGCCTGCTTAGAAATTAAGTGTTAACGAGCAGTTGGACAGGTGTACCTAATAAAGTGGCCGGTGAGTGTACATACAACTCCTGTTCATTACCTGTTTGCTGGTTCCTTGTCATTTTTCCCCCTTATGTCTCTTTTAGTTAATTTAAGTATTTTGTTTGTAGACTTTTACTTCTCTTGCCAATTTGAACATTAAACTAGCAAGAAACCACTTTAGCTTCCATCTCCTTATTTGGGTCGTTCAAATCTCCACTCAACCTGACAATTACCATTTTACCTAAGAATTTTGATTATATTTTATGTTATGCAGCAAGGATATAAAAAAATGCATATTGCCAACATTGAAAAAAAGCCAGAAAACTTAAAATTTTTCAAAAGATACAACACACCTGTGTGTCTAACTGCAAGATTTTCATTAAACTCAACGGAAACACAGATGATGCTAAACCATTGATAGTGGAAAAGAAAGAGGAACTAGACAAACATATCTGACAGAGGCCTAAACAGAAGACTCCATAATCCTCCATGATCAATATGAACAATAGGTCATATTAAGTATATTTGCAACACCAATCAGCAATGATTAATGATACATTACAGAGAATCATCTGACATAAAGAAATAAAAAGAGAAATATTTAAGAACAATTAGTACCGTATACTTTATCAACCTGATATAGACCCTGACAATAATTCCTTTCCACTATTGTAACTTACTGTAATAATAATACTGAAGATCAGTGCAATAATAAAATAAACTCAGAAGGAAATGATCAAAAATTAACTTTGTATAAAAAAATAATTTGGGCAAATACAGAAACCTGGATTGAAAAAAACAGAAACATCCAGTTTATTCTTGATGGTTATGAGCTAATATATTAGCTGAGGAGAGAAGAAAAATTATGACTATGAATATGGAGGTTCCAGCAACCAGTGGTTTGTTATTAAAAACAAATGTAGATTGCAAATCTGATAATTTTCTTAACATCTTTGTTTCTCTGTATAATGTAAACTGTTAGGTTTAAGCACCAAACATTTTATTCAGTAACCTGTACAAAGAAAGACACAGAGAATTTTAGTATGATTTACTTGCAAGGAGAGTGATCAGAGACTGTTCAGTTACAATTCTCCAAAACACTCTGAAACAGCTCTGCTCTCACAAGCCTTTATTAAGGAACGCCCTAACTACAATGTTGGTTCCGACTGCTAAAGGGAGGGGTGAAACCCAGTCGGAACCAGAAGTCTGCATAACATCATACAGTATCATGAGATAAGCAGAGCTTTCACTCCTTTCTCCGGTGTTAGTGAGTGCATTTCCCCGTGTTTTCTCCTTGAACCGTCTGACCTTGAGCAGCCAGCTCCATCTGCACAGACTTAAAACATTAGTACAGAACAAACAAGTAAAATACTTCAACACTCTTTATGATATAAGTGAAATAAGGATAACAAAATGTGTGAGCATAATAATATGATCCCAGTGTGTAAGCATAATAATATGATTAAAGTAGAATTAACTTTTACAATTAATCCAACATAAACTGTACAGGAAAAAAAATATATATAAAAAGCCCTTGGCTTACAAAAGGAACACTGAATTCTTGTAAAAAAAAAAAAAAAAAAAAAAAAAAAAAAATATATATATATATATATATATATATATATATATATATATATATATATATATATATATATATAAATAAATAATTAACACCTAAACATAAAATACACTATCAGATATACTTAGAACTGTCCAACAGTTATATTTTAAGCAAATCCTGTATAATAATAAAAGAAATATGAAGAAAACATGGTAGATACTGAATGGCTTGATTAAACAGGGACCAGCAAAAATTGAGTTTTCCAATTATTTCTTTGGTATAAATGGAGAAATTTGCAATATGAACAAATTAGTTAACAACTTCAACCATTTATTTGTGAATGTTGATCTAGAGATGTCTGCTGAGAGTCCGGACTAATCCAATAATTAAGGCAATTATGCTTTGTTAAAGAATCAATTTCTATGAATGAACAAATCTGACAGTGTGGGAAGTCGTATCATTATATGCCATCACGGGGACGATAATTAGGCAAAAATAAGGTTTAGTTTGTTTTTCAAAGATTACCGAACAAATTCTAAAATTAATGATAGAAAAATAATGAATAGTTTTACTTTGTGTAAAAAATGTTGCAAAATAAATATTTCATTACCTTGTCAAGAAAAGATTAAATCTCTTCTGCTTTTTCAAAGAATTTTTTTTTTTTTTATGTTTTATGTTTATGTATGTTATGTTTAAAATTCCATTAGATGATAAAAGTGACTAATACAGGTCTTTTTAAAAATAAAACGTTGAACTTATATTGCAAACTTTCTAACCTCTAAAGTTTTTTCAGCCTTCTTCATGCTTAAGGAAAATAGCAAAATAGTTTGTCCTTAGCTCTCATGGTTTCATTGCAATTTGAGTCAATTATATCATATATTCAATTTAAAATATATTTTTATATATTTTTTAATTGCTTTAACAGGCTTAACTGTTTTGCTGATCAGGTTTCTCTCAAAAAATGTAAATAAAAGGATTACTTAAAAAAAATGTAAGGGTTCATCAACTTCCCTAAACCATAAGATAATATGCATTTTTGCTCTAGAGATTGAGTTTTCAAAGGGCTTGATGAAATATAATACTGTGTGTTGAATGTGTTCAGTGAACTGTATCAGTCTCTGCAGTAGATCCCAGCTGCAGAACAAAGTGCAGTTTCTATTCAGTAAGACTGAGGGAGGTTTTTGTATGATGAGTTTTCACTGTGTGAACAACCACTGATTGTTAATGTAGTGAAAACTCTGACAGTAATAAACTCCTGCATCTTCAGCCTGGACTCCACTGATGGTCAGAGTGAAGTCTATTTCATTTCCTGCTCCACTTCCAGTGAATCTGGAGGAGATTCCTGAAAATCTGGAAGATTTTCCATAGATCAGAGCTTTAGGAGCTTCTCCTGGTTTCTGTTGATACCAGGACAGGCAGACCTGTGAGTTGTGGTGGCACTGAGATATTAAAAGTGCCTGACTGGCCTTACAGTCAATAGTGACAGTCTGACCAAGCTGCACTGATTTGGCTGCTGGCTGAGTCACAACAATATTTTGTCCATCAGACCCTGAAAAGAGAGAAGAAATACTGGACATTAGATGATGAAGTTGAACTCATCTACACTTTTTTGTTACACAATTTTGTTCCACATAACAGAGAATGTTTTTCCTCACCCTGAGTAAAGCAGATGAGAGTCCAGATGATGAAGCTGATCAAAGTCATGTTTTCTGTGTCTTGTGTTGTCATGAAGGACAGCTGTCAGTCCTCCAGTGTTCAACTCTCAGAACTATAAACTCTCCCAGAGCACTGGAGCATGGAGCTGCTGATGCAAAGTGGCTCTATGGAAATGATCTGACCTGCTGTAATTGGAAATAGGATCCATTATGATATTTTGTTTGTCTCATTGTTCGGATCTGGAGAAGTTCCACCTTTCTCCAGCAGAGTTCGCCGTGGATCCTCCTGAGCTGAGCCTTCGACACACCTGAGGCGCATCTCATTATTAGAGGATCCTCCAGTATATAACCTGCCTTCAGACCTTGCCTCAACGCCGTAGTGTTTATCCAGTTTGGTTAGCACCTGAGCCTAGCATCTCCTGAGAATCTTTGTTGTCTCTGATCAGATTGGATCCTAATCCCTCCTTGTCTCTGTTTTCAGGAATCCTGTTTCCCTTGTAAGCTCTGGATGAGCTTAACCTGCCGAGCCTGCCCTCAGTGCCAAACCTGAAGACTCTTCTCTGGATTCCCATGCAGCTCTGGATTAAGAGCTGGAAATCTAAAACCAAGGTCTGCCCTCAAGCTAGATGTAAGACGCTGAAGCGGTTATTGGACTCTGCTGAACTAAACAGTCTCTGGACCCAACAGTTCCTCTCTCAAAGCCAAACCCGGACTTCTCAAGGTATCAATCAGAAACTCTCAAACTCAAACTCTTCTGCTCCCAAGCTAACTGAACTGTCATCCTCACAGACTCCAGTGAACCTGCCCCCAGGCCTGAACCAGTTCCTGTGTTTATCCCATGTGTTTGTACTCAATAAACATTGTTAAACTTTTCATCTGTTTCCGTGGTGTTCTGCATACTGGGCTTTTCTGAAACCCATCATGACACTCATCAGTTTGTAGGAATCTATGAAAACATTTAGTGTCTTTTGTTGTTTTTGATAAACTTGAGATATTTTGGTAAAAAAATTTTAGCATTTAAAAGCCTCTCTCCAACAACAGGCAAAACAGATTTCATATTTTATATTCATATTTTATAAATGTCATTATCACATTTTTTCATAGATAACAGTTTTATCAAATATAAACTTTTCATATTTTTTTTGTGGTTTTATCAGAAGAATAAAATGTAAAAAAAAAAAAAAAAAGTTTGTTTAGTATTTAAAGTCCAGTCTTTATAATATTTTGTCAGATGTTAAGTTGAAGCTATGATTTAAATATTTTTTAGGCATAATCATATCTAATTTATTGCTTCTTTAACAATTGTGAGAACATGCTTTTTTTCCTACTATTTATGTATTTTTTATTTATTTTTTTTTTTTGCAGCAGAGGCAAAGCCTCTACAGCTGGAGCAGCACCCTGAGGCTCCCTGCAGACCAGTGGAGGAAGGTGGGCTCTGTGACCTGTGAGGCCACCCAGGGCTCCCAGTCTGCAGTCACCCAGACACTGAGGAGAGACCAGTGTTCCCAGTCCTGATCTGATTCACTCAGACTGGATCTGAGAAGGATTAAGGCCCCAGTAACCTCCGTTTCTATCTGTGGGGTCAACATAGACACTGTATAGGATTATAAATACTTAAGGGTACAATTGGACAATAAACTGCACCAAAAACACAACTGCCCTCTGCAGGAGGTGCCAGAGCCATCTCTATTTTCTGAGGCAGCTGATATCCTCCAACATCTGCTGGACAATGCTGCGGATGTTTTACGAGTCTGTGGTGGCCAGTGTCATCCTTTATGCTGTTACAGGCTGGGGCAGCAGACTGAAGGTGAAGATTTGACAAACAACAGACGTGACAAAATCATCCGCAATACCATTCACATTGTTGGAGAGGAGCTGTACTCTGTCAGAGAGCAGAATGTTGGCCAGGATAAATCCATACTGGAAAATTCTCCACATCCCTGTCATGATGTGCTGGTCACCCACAGAAGCACTTTCAGTCAGAGACTCATTTTATCACACAGCACCACAGAGCGCCAAAGGAAGTAAGTCCTACCTGTGACCATCAAACTGGATAATTAATCTCTCTGACAGTCATTTCATTTCATTACATACTATTTACTAATTTCATTACTTCACTATGCACCATGACACGGTCACGGTCATAAAACACAATGTGTGTGTGGCAATTATTTTACAATTGTCTAGATATATGCTTTTAGGTTGTTTTTGATATAAGTTTTTCTTTAATGTATTTCCTTTTTTTTATTCCAGTGAAGTTAAAAAACAAACAACTGGACTTTGTATTCCAAATTTGAAGACGCTTTGGTTCCCATCTATGAATCTTTTACAATTCAAAATGTAAATGTAAATGTTAATTTTTTTTTTTTTTTGAGTTTCTGGAAATCGAATCCCCTTAAAAGAAAAAAATATAATAGATTAATAAATGTGGTTGACAAGCTGTTTTTACTATAGCTAGAACTGTTCTAGTAGAGTTTGTTGTGTTCAGAGTCAGAGAGCCGTGTCTCTCTACAGTCAGAGGTTTTTGTACGACGATTCAATCGGTTTGTATCACTGTGGTACACGTTTGGTGGAGGAACCAGACTGGATGTTGGAAGTAAGTACAATTTTTCACTTTCTTTCATGCAGGATACTTTCTTTTAAATTTAAGGTATAAACCAAGAATAGATTCAGAAGTCCCTGTTTTAATAAGATGGTTATTTTATATCCATTAACCATAAAAGCTTCAGGTTTTGGGAGAAACTGAGAACAGTAGTAAAAAACACACACATTTTCTCTCTGAGTTTTTTTTAAGGTATTAAGGCAAAAAAATACATGAGAAAATGTTTGATTTTGAACCAGAACTAGTTTGTTGTGTTCAGAGTCAGAGAGCCGTGTCTTTCTACAGTCAGAGGTTTTTGTACGATGACTCAATTAGTTTGTATCACTGTGGAGGACTTTTGGTGGAGGAACCAGACTGGATGTTGGAAGTAAGTTTCTGAATATTTAAAAATAAATAAGATGAAAAAGACTAAGTGTTAAATATAGAATATTGACATTTTTTAACAACTTTAAGTTGATCATGTAAAATAGTTTTATTCTCTAAACCTAGAGATTTGGACATCTCTTTTATTTTAAATTTTTTTTATTTACATTAAAAGCACATTTATTGTCTAAAATTGCATAAATAGAAGTAAAAATGTAAACGTTATTGCAGCTAGTTGAAAAATATATTAGGAGTGTTATCAGCCAGAATTATATTTAGAGAAAGTGAGTAAACAAAAACCTTTATGTTGCAATGAAAATGATGACATTCTAAAATGATGTTTGTTTATGAATGTTACAAATACTTACATACTTTAATTTTTTTTCTTACTAATTTAATTAATTATAAAATGGTTTAGATCTTTCGAACATTGCATTATTATCTCTAGTTTGTATTTTTTAAACTTTGAAAGTTTCCTTAAAGTTAGTTCGCTAATTAATAAAGTTCTGAAATAACTCCAAAGGTTTGATTTGTTAACAACAGTTTAATTATTTGATGAAATATTATTGGTTTAAGAGTTTAAATGAGTTATAGTTAATGTTATTAAACTATTGCGAGAGTGTAAAATAGAGAAAAAAATGAAATATACTGTTATGTTTAGTTATCTTTTTTATGGTCAGTCAGATATATATTTCAGATTTTTGTTTAGTTTAAATTTCTCTGATACTTTTTAAGGTCATATCGGGGCTCTGTGTGCTGATATGCATGAAAGGTTCCTTTAATGGAAGTGAAACAATCTGTGAGGGAGTGACTGATGGAGTGAAAATAAAGTTTAACTGAAAATTCTTACAGGGTTTTTTTCACTGCTCTCTGCTATTTGACTAACAGCTGTGTGGTTTCTGTTCTCTAACCTGATTGGTGTCTCCTAGGTGACACCCGTCCCACCCTGACAGTACTGCCCCCCTCCAAAGAGGAGATGCAGCAGGGGAAGGCCACCCTCATGTGTCTGGCCAACAAGGGCTTCCCCTCCGGCTGGAGTCTGTCCTGGAAGGTGGACGGCAGCAGCAGCAGCGGCAGCTGGGAGCAGAACAGGAGCCCCGGGGTTCTGCAGAAGGACGGCCTCTACAGCTGGAGCAGCACCCTGAGTCTCCCTGCAGACCAGTGGAGGAAGGTGGGCTCTGTGACCTGTGAGGCCACCCAGGGCTCCCAGTCTGCAGTCACCCAGACACTGAGGAGAGACCAGTGTTCCCAGTCCTGATCTGATTCACTCAGACAATGATAATGGATTGAATCTGTCACTGCTCTCATTCTTTTTCTTCTGATTATTTTCTACTTTCAATGAATCATGTTTTTTTTTTTTTGTCACTGTGTTCACTATTCAAAATAAAATCACAAACTAATGAACTTCTGCTGTTGATTAATTTTATTTATCATGCTAAGAAACGAGCTGAAACTCACATATTTCTCTTTTTTGTGTCAATAATCAAGCTTTTATCTAACTGTGTGCTTAAATTTAGTTTTCTTACATTGTGTTCAATGTTCCTGCAATTCAGAAATAATTTTGCCGTTTTTATATAAAACAAATCAGATGCACATTTAATGACTTAATTCATATTTATACTTCTTTCATAATCTCATAGAATCAGCGGCTCTAAAAGGCTTGAACAACTGCTGATCAAAACTGACCTCTAAACAGCTTTTTAAAGAGAAAAATTTTGAAGTCAAGCAGAGTTTAAGTATTTTATAGATTCACTGTTAATACTTGCTGACCAGAAAAAAAAGTTTTTATACAAACGTACATTTTCAGCTTTTTCAATTTTCAAGGCATGTCACTCTATCAAAGTCTGCTTAAATCAGAAAATCTAAAACAAATGAAACAGTTATGAAAGGAAATGGATAAATAGCTTGAAATCATATATATAAAGCATGTTTGTATATCAGTTTTGAATGTAACATGTGGGGAAGCTTTTAGTGTTTCAGTTCAGCTGCTGAGTCGGATCAGTTCCTCTGCAGCTGAGGGAGGTTTTTGTATGACGTTCTATCACTGTGTGAACGGGGTGCTCCAACCCTGCTGACAGTAATAAACTCCTGCATCTTCAGCCTGAACTCCACTGATGGTCAGAGTGAAGTAAGAACCATAACCACTTCCACTGAAACGATCTAGAACTCCAGATTGACGATTTGTAGCTCTATATATCAGGAGTTTAGGAGCTTCTGCAGGTTTTTGAAGGTACCAGTGGAGGTAGTCTAAAACACCAGAACTGGTTTTACATTTGATGGAGACAGTCTGACCCTGAACAACAGACTGAGATCCAGGAGTCTGAGTAAGGATGATGTTTCCTGATGAACCTGGAAAACATGAAAAATCGCAACTGTAAGAAATAATGTTCAAATATGAATGACCGATAAACTGTGAAAATATTAACAAAAGCTTTATGATCTTGTTTCAATAATTCTCCATAATGACAGAATCATCATTTTCATGGAGATCATTTCTTCCTCAAACCAAGTTCTGAGCAGAGATTCTCACCCTGAACCAGGAGCCCCAGGATGGTCAGCAGTAGAGTCAGTAACATCATCATTGTGCTGCTGGTGGTTCAGTGGCTCTGAAAGGCCTGGACAGCCTCTGATCAACACTGACCTCTTAACAGCTGGGAGCAGAGAGGGAGGACACATATGCAAACACACAGAGTCAGTCACATGGAGCTGAACTGGCAGCATGTTTCCTCCTGAAACACATCAACATCATTAGAAAGCTGAATGGAGGAAAATTGAAAATAGTCCTGTTGATCTTTTACCTTTTAGACATTAATGTAGAAACTAAATGAAGTTAAATACAAAAGAAATGAGAGAAGGGAGAGTAGGGGGAACAACAGAAAAAAAACCTTTGGTAACTAGGTTGAATTAATTGCTGTGATTCATTAGAACTAAATGTTATGAAGATCTAAAAGGGTTAAATCTACATAATAAAGAAACTATGAATTTAAGCTGGGATTCTACATTAAACTGACAAAGAAACCAACTTCTCTCTAAACAACATTGTTCCAGCTGAAAGCTCATAATGTCAAGTCTCTTTTGATAACTGAGTGAAAATAATTCACACCTTTATCTCATCAAGAATAAGCAAATCTCCAAGTCTCTATGAACTAATTATTCTGTCCTTTCTTTGTTCAATTTAACTTTTAAGCAAAAAGACACTGAATTAACATCTAAGCCTTTTTTTTTTTTACTTTGCTGTGTTTAAAGCTACAGTGTGTAATTTTCAGCGACATCTAGCGGTCAGACTGCAGACTGCAGCAACATGAACATCTCCCCCCCACCGCCTCTCCCCCCCAACAGTACGGCGAGCGTTACGGGACAAAATGTCTTCCACGACGTCCACATCACCTACCTTCTCAAGTGATGAGGTTTGTTTACAAAGATAATTTTACAGATAGTATTTCATTAGTCTGTGTGTTCAGTACTGTCTCAGTTCATCTCTCTCAACTTGCCGTAGCTACTTTCGAGCGTAATGGGCGATCTCGCAAGTTTGTTGGCTCTGCGCTGCCGTAGCGAAAAGATGTCTGCCTCCATTGCTGCGAGACCCGCTCCTATGTAATTATAAATAACGAATTCTAAGGCAACGCAAATATTAAGGTTAAGAGGCTGAGCTCGTAGATGATGATAAATGACATAGTTATGTATAATATATTACATTTCTGACTGTATATCCCTGTAATTATTACACACTGTAGCTTTAAGGTATCTAAAGATAGTTAGTTTTATCATAAATGAAACAAAACAAAATCAGATTAAGTGAATATTTTTTTATGTTTTTTGCTGAACTATATGCAAATTACATCTACCAATAATTAATTAACTTAATGTTAAATACATAAACAAATTTTGAACTAGATGTGGAAGTTGATTTATGTTCAGTTTTTTAAACAGATACTGATTGGAATAAATTAAATTGTTAAAAGTGACTTTTATTTATTACTGATTGCTTAATGGTTTTTTTTATATTAAAGATTTTTATTAGAAATAAAACAAATTGAGGACTGTAAATATGTTATATTTTTTATCCTGATTGTTTTATATTTATATATTTTCAGATCCAATAATTTAGAGGTCTTTGTTTGAATCTTAAGAAAAATACACATTTTGTCTTAATAAGGCTTAATGGAATATAATGTGTGTTTAATGTGTTCAGTGAACTGTATCAGTCTCTGCAGTAGATCCCAGCTGCAGAACAAAGTTCAGTTTCTGTTCAGTCAGACTGAGGGAGGTTTTTGTACAATGAGTTTTCACTGTGTGAACACATTGCCACTGTGAAGACTCTGACAGTAATAAACTCCTGCATCTTCAGCCTGGACTCCACTGATGGTCAGAGTGAAGTCTATTCTATTTCCTGCTCCACTTCCAGTGAATCTGGAGGAGATTCCTGATAATCTGGAAGATGTCCAATAGATCAGAGCTTTAGGAGCTTCTCCTGGTTTCTGTTGATACCAGGACAGGCAGGGTGTGCTACAAGCTACTACTCTGTTAGCTTTACAGTCAATAGTGACAGTCTGACCAAGCTGTACTGATTTGGCTGCTGGCTGAGTCACAACCACATTTTGTCCATCAGACCCTGAGAGGAGAGAAGAAATACTGGATATTACATTGTGAGGTGAAACTCAGCTAAAGTATAAATTATTTTTACATAACAGAAAATTATTACACACCCTGAGTGAGGCAAAGGAGAGTCCAGAAGAGGATGCTTATCAAAGTCATGTTTTCTCTGCCTTTGTTGTCAGGACAGCTGTCAGTTCTCCAGTGTTCAACTCTCTGGACTATACAGGTGCTGGTCATAAAATTAGAATATCATGAAAAAGTAGATTGATTTCAGTAATTCCATTTAAAAAGTGAAACTTGTATATTATATTCATACATTACATACAAACTCATATATTTCAGATGTTTATTTTGTTTAATTTTGATGATTACAAATGACAACAAATGAAAATCTCAAATTCATCATATCAGAAAATTAGAATATTACTGAAGACCAATAAAAACAAAGGATTTATAGAAATGTTGGCCAACTGAAAAGTATGAACATGAAAAGTATGAGCATGTACAGCACTCAGTATTTAGTTGGGCCTCCTTTGGCCTGTATTACTGCAGCAATGCGGCGTGGCATGGAGTCGATCAGTCTGTGGCACTGCTCAGGTGTTATGATAGCCCAGGTTGCTCTAATAGTGGCTTTTAGCTCTTCTGAATTGTTGGGTCTGGTATATTGCATCTTCTTCTTCACAATACCCCATAGATTTTCTATGGGGTTAAGGTCAGGAGAGTTTGCTGGCCAATTAAGAACAGGGATACCATGGTCCTTCAACCAGGTACTGGTAGCTTTGGCACTGTGTGCAGGTGCCAAGTCCTGTTGGAAAATGAAATCTGCATCTCCAAAAAGTTGGTCAGCTGCAGGAAGCATGAAGTGCTCTAAAACTTCCTGGTATGTGGCTGCGTTGACCCTGGACCTCAGAAAACACAATGGACCAACACCAGCAGATGACATGGCACCCCAAACCATCACTGACTGTGGAAACTTTACACTGGACTTCAAGCAACGTGGATGAAGTGCCTCTTTTCTTTTCCTCCAGACTCTGGGACCTTGATTTCCAAAGGAAATGCAAAATTTACTTTCATCAGAGAACATGACTTTGGACCACTCACCAGCAGTCCAGTCCTGTTTCTCTTTAGCCCAGGCAAGACGCTTCTGACGCTGTCTGTGGTTCAAGAGTGGCTTGACACAAGGAATGCGACAGCAGAAACCCATGTCTTTCATACGTCTGTGTGTGGTGGTTCTTGAAGCACTCACTCCAGCTGCAGTCCACTCTTTGTGAATCTCCCCCACATTTTTGAATGGGTTTTGTTTCACAATCCTCTCCAGGGTGCGGTTATCTCTCTTGCTTGTACACTTTTTTCGACCACATCTTTTCCTTCCCTTCGCCTCTCTATTAATGTGCTTGGACACTGAGCTCTGTGAACAGCCAGCCTCTTTAGCGATGACCTTTTGTGTCTTGCCCTCCTTGTGCAAGGTGTCGATGGTCGTCTTTTGGACAACTGTCAAGTCAGCAGTCTTCCCCATGATTGTGTAGCCTATAGAACTAGACTGAAAGACCATTTAAAGGCTTTTGCAGGTGGTTTGAGTTAATTAGCTGATTAGAGTGTGGCACCAGGGGCCATCAATTTTGAACCTTTTCACAATATTCTAATTTTCTGATATGATGAATTTGAGATTTTCATTTGTTGTCATTTGTAATCATCAAAATTAAACAAAATAAACATCTGAAATATATGAGTTTGTATGTAATGTATGAATATAATATACAAGTTTCACTTTTTAAATGGAATTACTGAAATCAATCTACTTTTTCATGATATTCTAATTTTATGACCAGCACCTGTAAACTCTCCCAGAGCGCTGGAGCATGGAGCTGCTGATGCAAAGTGGCTCTATGGAAATACTCTGATTCACTCTGAAAGGTTCGTGATCATTCTGATGATGCTGTTCATCAGTTTAAGTTTTCTTTTTCAGTTTCACTTTTATTCATGTTTTGTGTTTTTTTTTTGTTTTATTGATTCAATTCCCATTTTATGGTGTTGTTTTGGATGTACTTGAATTCTTATGTATTTCTGGTTTGCCCTCTGTTGCCCTCTTGTGTCAATCTCCTTTCCCCTAGCTCCCTCCTAGATTCCTGTGTCCACACCTGCTCCCAATCTGCTGATAAGCCTGGTCTTTGTTTCTGCCTCCAATATATACACCTCCTGTTTATTAGTTGTTTGCTGGTTAATCGTCATTTTTTCCCCCTCATGTCTGCTTTACTTAATTTAAGTATTTTGTTTGTAGACTTTTACTTCTCTTGCCAATTTGGACATTAAACTAGCAAGAAACCACTTTAGCTTCAATCTCTTCATTTGGGTCCTTCAAACCTCCACTCAACCTGACAGTTACCATTTTACTTAAGCATTTTGATTATATTTTATGTTATGCATTTTGCCAATATTACAAAAAAAGCTAGCCAACTTAAAATTTTTCAAAAGACCCAACACACCTGGGTGTCTAACTGCAAGATTTTCATTAAAAATGACCACCTCTCTTGCACACTTATGGGAAAAACAGATTAAAATATGAAAGAAAAGGGAACTTTTAAACATATTCTTAATGTTTTCATATTTCTTATGCATGGATGGCAAAAATTAAGTTTTGTTTGACAGATAAATGCAGAGAATTACCTCCCCTTTAGCGGGAAAATGTAACAAAAGTTTGTTTAGTATTTGAAGTCCAGTCTTAATGTATTTTGTCAGATTTTAAGTTGTCTGCAGTCTTTGAGACACTGAGGAGAGACCAGTGTTCCCAGTCCTGATCTGATTCACTCAGACAATGATAATGGATTGAATCTGTCACCGCACCCATTCTTTCTCTTCTGTTTTTTTCTATTCTCAAGAAATCATTTTTGCTTTTTCATTATTGTCACTATTCAAAATAAAAAATAAACAAAAAATGAACATTTTTTGCAGTCAGCCTACTTTATTATTAAGCTAAATCATTAATCAAGTTTTTTTTCCTGACTGGATGTTTAAATGTATTACTTTATTTATGTTCAATGTTCATGCTATTGAGAAATAAATTAAAAGGGCCTGAAGAGCTGCTGATCATCTCTGGTCTCTGTGCAGCTTTTAAAGCATATGTTAGACATTTAAAAGCCAAGCAGGGTGATTTTATTAGTACTAAGTGTTAAAAGAAAATGGGTAAAAATGTAGAAAAGATAGTTTTCATCTGGGGAAGATTGTAGCGTTTCAATTCAGCTGCTGAGTCGGATCAGTTCCTCTGCAGCTGAGGGAGGTTTTTGTATGACGTTCTATCACTGTGTGAACGGGCTGTAACCCTGCTGACAGTAATAAACTCCTGCATCTTCAGCCTGAACTCCACTGATGGTCAGAGTGTAGTCAGAACCAGAACCACTTCCACTGAAACGATCTGGAACTCCAGACTGACGATTTGTAGCTCCATAAATCAGGAGTTTAGGAGCTTCTGCAGGTTTTTGAAGGTACCAGTGGAGGTTGCTATAAACACCAGAACTGGTTTTACATTTGATGGAGACAGTCTGACCCTGAACAACAGACTGAGATGCAGGAGTCTGAGTCAGGATGATGTCTCCTGATGAACCTGGAAAACAATTGAGAGAAATAACGTTGAATTAAAAATCACTGATAAACTGAAAAGATTAAAGAAAGCTTTATGATCTTGTTTCAATAATTCTCCATAATGACAGAATCATCATTTTCATAAAGCTGATTTGATCCTCAAACCAAATTCTGAGCAGAGAGTCTCACCCTGAACCAGGAGCCCCAGGATGGTCAGCAGTAGAGTCAGTAACATCATCATTGTGCTGCTGGTGGTTCAGTGGCTCTGAAAGGCCTGGACAGCCTCTGATCAACACTGACCTCTTAACAGCTGGGAGCAGAGAGGGAGGACACATATGCAAACACACAGAGTCAGTCACATGGAGCTGAACTGGCAGCATGTTTCCTCCTGAAACACATCAACATCATTAGAAAGCTGAATGGAGGAAGTTTGAAAAGGTTCCTGTTGATCTTTTAGCTTTTAGACAATAATGCAGCAACTGAATGAAGTTAAATACAAAAGAAATGAGAGAAGGGAGAGTAGGGAAAACAACAGAAAAGAAAACCTTTGGGAACTAGCTTAAATTAAGTGTTCCAGTCAAAAGTTTGTTTTGCTGTGAGTCATTATAACAAAACGTTCCCCAAAGATCTAAAAGGGTTAAATCTACATTTAAAAAAAAAGACTCTAAAGATTAAAACATCTTTAAATGTACGCCGGGATTCTTTAAAAGCAGCATTGAACTGACAAAGACACCAACTTCTCTCTAAACAACATTTTTCCAGCTGAAAGCCCATAATGTCAAGTCTCTTCTGATACCTGATTGAAAATAATTCACACCTTTATCTCATACAGACTAAGCAAATCTCCAAGTCTCTATGAACTAATTATCTGTCCTTTCTTTGTTCAATTTAACTTTTAAGCAAAAAGATCTTTGAATCAACATCAAAGCCTTTCATTACTGATTGCTTCATGTTTATATTTATTTATAAAAACATGTAAAATATGTTTTGTTTAGTTCTTGCATTCAGAGTTTAATCAGACTTCTTTAATCTTGAAAAATGAATCCCCTTTTCTTTTATCATTGTTCATGGTCTTATAAGGCTCCATTATATTAAGTAGGCCATCCTTGCCTGATCATCGCTACATTAAAGAAACTTGTAGAACTGAGCTGCAGGACAGGACAAGATGTTGGTCTACAACATTTAAATGTTTAGTTTCATAAATATTTGTTTTTAGAATTAAAACAAACTGAGTGTAAATATGTTATACTGGTTACCCTGATTGCTTTGTTTTAGCTTATACAGTTATCAATGGACAGATGAAATTGTATTTATCTATTTTCAGAATCAATAGTTTAGGGGTTTATCAACTTTGAATCTGAAAAAAACACATTTTGTCTTAATAAAGGTTAATGAAACTTAATGCTGTGTGTTTAATGTGTTCAGTGAACTGTATCAGTCTCTGCAGTAGATCCCAGCTGCGGAACAAAGTTCAGTTTCTGTTCAGTCAGACTGAGGGAGGTTGTTGTACGATGAGTTTTCACTGTGTGAACACGTCGCCACTGTGATAACTCTGACAGTAATAAACTCCTGCATCTTCAGCCTGGACTCCACTGATGGTCAGAGTGAAGTCTATTCCATTTCCTGCTCCACTTCCAGTGAATCTGGAGGAGATTCCTGAAAATCTATCAGATGTCAGATAGATCAGAGCTTTAGGAGCTTCTCCTGGTTTTTTGTGGTACCAGGCAAGGTAGTACTGTGAGCCTGAGTGGTGAGCTACTTTTCTGTTAACCTTACAGTCAACAGTGACAGTCTGACTAAGCTGCACTGATTTGGCTGCTGGCTGAGTCACAACAACATTTTGTCCATCAGACCCTGAGGAGAAAAAGAAAGACTGGACATTATATGATCAGACTAAACACCAAATGATTTCCATTATACAGGAAAATTGTTTTCCTCACCCTGAGTAAAGCAGAAGAGAGTCCAGATAATGAAGCTGATCAAAGTCATGTTTTCTGTGTCTTGTGTTGTCATGAAGGACAGCTGTCAGTCCTCCAGTGTTCAACTTTAAGGGCTATAAACTCTCCCAGATCACTGGAGCATGGAGCTGCTGATGCAAAGTGGCTCTATGGAAATGTTCTGACCTGCTGTAATTGGAAAAAGGATCCATGATGATATTTTGTTTGTCTCATCAGTTACTAAAAATCTATGAAAACATTTAGTGTTTTTTGTGTTTTTTGCAAACTTGAGATATTTTGCTAAAATATTTTTTGCCTTTAAAAGCCTCTCTAAAACCACAGGCAAAACAGATTTCATATTTCATATTCATATTTTATAAATGTCATGATAAAATATGTTTTTTATTCATAACAGCTCTATCTAATATAAACTTTTAACATATTTAGAAGTGCAGTTTTATCAGAAGAGTAAAATGTAACAAAGGTTTGTTTAGTATTTAAAGTCCAGGCTTTATTATATTTTTTCAGATGTTAAGTTGAAGCTATGATTAAAAATTTTTTTAGGATAATATCTAATTAATTACTTTTTAACAATTGTGAGAACATGCTTTTTTCCTACTATTGATGTATTTTTTTTTTTGCAGCAGAGGCAAAGCCTCTACAGCTGGAGCAGCACCCTGAGGCTCCCTGCAGACCAGTGGAGGAAGGTGGGCTCTGTGACCTGTGAGGCCACCCAGGGCTCCCAGTCTGAAGTCACTGAGGAGAGACCAGTGTTCCCAGTCCTGACCTGATTCACTCAGACTGGATCTGAGAAGGATTAAGTTACCCCGATTCTATCTGTGGGGTCAACATAGACACTGTTTAGGATTATAAATACTTAAGGGTACAATTGAACAATAAACTGGACTAAAAACACAACTGCCCTCTGCAGGAAGGGCCAGAGCCGTCTCTGTTTTCTGATGCAGCTGATGTCCTTCAACATCTGCTGGACAATGCTGCAGATGTTTTACGAGTCTGTGGTGGCCAGTGTCATCCTTTATGCTGTTACAGGCTGGGGCAGCAGACTGAAGGTGAATATTTGACGAACAACAGATGTAACAAACTCATCCGCAATGTTATTCACATTGTTGGAGAGGAGCTTTACTCTGTCAGAGAGCAGAATGTTGGCCAGGATAAGTCCATACTGGAAAATTCTGCACATCCCTGTCATGATGTGCTGGTCACCCACAGAAGCATTTTCAGTCAGAGACTCATTTTATCACACTGCATCACAGAGCGCCAAAGGAAGTAAGTCCTACCTGTGACCATCAAACTGGATAATTAATCTCTCTGACAGTCATTTCATTACATACTATTTACTAATATTACTTCATTACTTCACTATGCACCATGACACGGTCATGTGCAATAATAGTCATTTCGGTACTGAGCAGTATTGTAAATTTTAAATACTGTTGATTGTATATAATCTAATCCTTATCTTATTTTATTATTATGTTATTTTACAACGCTTACATGGGAAGGGTGTACTTTTACTGTGTGGATTGTAATTTTACTTATCTTAATCTGTCTTATTATGCTATATTTTATTTAGTTCTATTGTACTTACAATTGTATTTTTCCTCTCTTCTGTAAATGGTTGCACTGCAAGAAAATAATTAGCCGCAAGGGATTGATAAAGTAATTCTGATTCTGATTTAGCTCCTGGCTTAGCTTCTCTCTGTCCCGCATGCAAGCCCATTTTCCCCCCACCCCCACCCCATCTCCGTCCTCATTCTGAGTCCCACACATTCACTGGTGTCCTGGTCCTAGGGGGAAGACCATTCTACTCCTTTTTCTAGGTTAATCATCCAAGCAAATGTTGATTCACAGTATCAATTTATTTCATTTATGTCATTATCTGCTTCTGTCTTCTTGAACCCTCAGGTGGTAGATGGCCGCTCCTTCTGAGCCTGGCTCCGCTGGAGGTTTCTTCCTGTTAAAAGGGAGTTTTCCTCTCCACTGTTGTTACATTAATGCTTGATGAGACAGATTGCAGCAAGTCAATGACTCCTTGCAATCAACTGCTTTTCCTCAGACAGAAAGGTTTTGATGAATCTAAATAACTTCAATAATATATTTCTAATGGCAACTTTTCTAAACACAGATCCCAGACACCTGTATGAGTCTCTCCAGGTGGAATTAGCAAAGAAAATTACAGACAGCCTATCAGCAATTATTAATTAATAAACTTAATCATTGAAATCTAAGTAAACTCATACTGCCTGACTCAAGAAAGACAAACATTTGTCTCATGCAAAAGAAAACGTAGCAGGAGAGTCTGTGATTAAAAACTAAAGAAAATGTTGTTTTTTTTATATATTCACAACTAAAAAACAAACAAAAACTAGGGAGCATGGGATGGAAGAGGATGGGGAGGAGAAGAAGTAGGAAAGTTTAGCAAGATCATAAAAAAAAAGAAGTTACAGGTAGAATCTCAATGAGCCAGACTACATCTCTTGACATCTGGGCCCCATTTGTAACCATAACCATTGATGAATTTTCTGTTTTTAGGAAAGAACAAAATAAATTTGGGGGTGGAGTGGCTCTTTATGTACAAAATAATTTACCTGCCAGAATACATTTAGATTCAATGAGGGAGGAAATCAAAGCATGTTGTGTAAAAATACATGTGCCTTATTTTAAAACCACTCTTAGTTTGTTGCTTCTATAGGCCCCCTAATGTAGATGCTGTGACTGGATTCTTTGAACTGCTTGATCAGATATCAGATAAAAACAGCAAGAATTATCTGCTGGGTGATGCAAATGTTGAGTGGTTGGTGCAGTCTTCTCCCAACAGGGAAAGGTTACTCTCTATACTGAGTGCATGTAGTCTGTCCTAAGTTGATGAAGTCCCCACAAGAGTGGTGGATTAGTGGTTAGGGAATAGAGCTTGGCTTCCTGAGGTTCTGAGTTCAAGCCCCACACACACGAACTGCTACTCTTGGTACCTGAGCAAATGATCCTTAACTCCACACTGCTCCCCGGGGGCCACACAATGGCAGCCAGCTGCTCCCCAAGGCGATGGGTTAAATGCAGATAGTTCATTTTGTTGCTCTACTCGAGACAGTGTAAAGACAATTTAAAAAAGCTAGTAAAAAAAAATATTAGAAATGATGGAATTATCTCTGCAACATGCATTGACACATCTACACCAATACAGTGCTCTAAGGGCCATCTTTGCACCTGTAGATTTTAGTGACCATAATATAATCGCTGTAACTAGAAAAAATAAGATTCCAAAAGGTATGGCTAAAATAATCTTAACTCAGGACTTTTGGTGGAGGAACCAGACTGGATGTTGGAAGTAAGTTTCTAAATATTTAAAAATAAATCAGATGAAAAAGACTTAGTGTTAAATGTAGAATATTGACATTTTTTAACAACCTTAAGTTGATCATGTAAAATAGTTTTATTCTCTAAACTTAGAGATTTGGACATTTCTTTTATTTTTTTATTAACAATAAAAACACGTTTATTTTCTAAAATTGCAGAAGTAGAAGTAAAAATGTAAATTTTATTGCAGCTGGTTGAAAAATATATTAGGACTACTTTAGTGTTATCTGCCCGAATTATATGTAGAGAAAGAGAGAAAGCAAAAACTTTTACATTGCAATGAAAACGACGACATCCTATATGGTGTTTGTTTCTGAATACTACAAATACTTACATACCTTACATTTTTTTCTTACTAATTTAATTAATTATACAATTGTTTAGATCTTTTGCCCATTTCATTATTATCTCTAGTTTGTATTTTTTAAACTTTGAAAGTTTCCTTAAAGTTGCCTTAGCTAATCAATAAAGTTCTGAAATAACTCAAAAGTTTTGATTTGTTAACAAAAGTTTAATTCTTCGATGAGAGATTATTAGTTTAAGGGTTAAAATGAGGTATAGTTAATGTTATTGAACTATTGCGAGAGTGTAAAATAGAGAATAAATGAAATATACTGTTATGTTTAGTTATCCTTTTTATGGTCAGTCAGATATATATTTCAGTTTATTGTTTAGTTTAAATTTCTCTGATACTTTTTAAGGTCATATCGGGGCTCTGTGTGCTGATATGCATGAAAGGTTCCTTTAATGGAAGTGAAACAATCTGTGAGGGAGTGACTGATGGAGTGGAAAATAAAGTTTAACTGAAAATTCTTATAGGGTTTTTTTCACTGCTCTCTGCTATTTGACTAACAGCTGTGTGGTTCCTGTTCTCTAACCTGATTGGTGTCTCCTAGGTGACACCCGTCCCACCCTGACAGTGCTGCCCCCCTCCAGTGAGGAGCTGCAGCAGGGGAAGGCCACCCTCATGTGTTTGGCCAACAAGGGCTTCCCCTCCGGCTGGAGTCTGTCCTGGAAGGTGGACGGCAGCAGCAGCAGCAGCTGGGAGCAGAGCAGGAGCCCCGGGGTTCTGCAGAAGGACGGCCTCTACAGCTGGAGCAGCACCCTGAGGCTCCCTGCAGACCAGTGGAGGAAGGTGGGCTCTGTGACCTGTGAGGCCACCCAGGGCTCCCAGTCTGCAGTCACAGAGACACTGAGGAGAGACCAGTGTTCCCAGTCCTGACCTGATTCACTCAGACAATGATAATGGATTGAATCTGTCACTGCTCTCATTCTTTCTCTTCTGATTATTTTCTACTTTCAATGAATCATGTTTTCCTTGTCACTGTGTTCACTATTCAAAATAAAATCACAAACTAATGAACTCCTGATGTTGATCAATTTTATTTCTTATGCTAAGAAACGAGCTGAAACTCACATATTTCTCTTTTTGTGTCATTAATCAAGCTTTTATCTGACCGTGTGCTTAAATTTAGTTTTCTTACATTATGTTTAATGTGCCTGCAATTCAGAAATAAATCAAACGTTTTTATATAAAACAAATCAGATGCACATTTAATGACTTAATGTTCATATTTATATTTCTTTCATAATCGCATTGAATCAGTGGCTCTGAAAGATTTGAACAACTGCTGATCAAAACTGACCTCTAAACAGCTTTTTAAAGAAAAGGTTTGAAATTTTGAAGTCAAGCTGAGTTTAACTATTTTATAGATTCACTGTTAATACTGGCTGACCAGAAAAAAAAAGTTTTATACTAACAAACTTTTTCAGCTTTTTCAATTCTCAAGGCACATCACTCTATCAAGGTCTGATTAAATCAGAACATCTAAACAGATAAAACAGTTATAAAAGGAAATGGGTAAATAGTTTGAAATCATATATATAAAGCATATTTTTATATCAGTTTTGAATGTAAGCTTTTAGTGTTTTAGTTCAACTGCTGAGTCTGATCAGATCTACAGAGCTTTATTCTTCAATCAAGAGAGTTGGCTCCAATGGGGATTGCAGGAAAGCAACCTCTTGCATTCGATGATCCACAAAGGCTGGGGCTGTTATCTGGTGACCCAGCCTCAATAGTACTATAACTGTAGGAAAAGAAAGCCAGCAGGTGAGTTGTGTTTAAGGCAAGTGCCTTATGTTGCTGGATTAAAATTAATGGCGGACATAGATAAATTTTTTAAATCTAGACGAATCCCACTGTAATTTTGAAAGTAATCTCGGTTAAATTTGCTCATTTGAATTCTGCCAAAGGCATTCGTATGTGTGTGCTACCTCCAGAATTTAAATAACAGCTTTTATTTATTTATTTTTGTTTGCACAATGTTCTTCCTTAAGATTTTAATGGAGGCATAAATACTTATTTTGATAATTTCTTTCTGTGTTTTTGCTGCAAAAAATAGAGTGTCACTCTTCCAATTGTAAATGTCCCACTTTAACAATATATTGTGTCCAAAATTCCACTTTGAGGAAACAGTGTTGTAGGATAATATAAAAATTCTGTTTAGGATGTTATGTGAAGGTCTCAAAAATGTATCATGAGCTCTAGAAATAATATGGGAATTACCACCTTTCTTGCACACTGATGAGAAAAACAGATTAAAATATGAAAAAAAAGGGAACTTTTAAACATATTCCTAACCTTTTTATATTTCTTATGCATGGATGGCAAAAATTAAGTTTTGTTTGATGGATAAAGGCAGATAATTACCTCCTCTGTTGCTGGAAAATGTAACAAAAGTTTGTTTAGTGTTTAAAGTCCAGTCTTTATTATATTTTGTCAGATGTTAACTTGTAACAATGACTAAAAATATTTTTAGGCATTATATGTCATTTATTTCTTTTATTTTTAACAATTGTGAGTACATGCTTTTTTCCTGCTATTTTTTATTTTATTTTATTTTTTTTGCAGCAGAAGGACGGCCTCTACAGCTGGAGCAGCACCCTGAGGCTCCCTGCAGACCAGTGGAGGAAGGTGGGCTCTGTGACCTGTGAGGCCACCCAGGGGTCCCAGTCTGCAGTCACAGAGACACTGAGGAGAGACCAGTGTTTCCAGTCCTGACCTGATTTACTCAGACAATTATAATGGATTGAATCTGTCACTGCTCTCATTCTTTCTCTTTTGTTTTTTCTATTCTCAAGAAATCCTGTTTGGTTTTTCATTATTGCCACCATTCAAAATAAAAAAATAAATAAAAAATAAGAATTTTTGCTGTCAATCTATTTTAATATTAAGCTAAATCATTAATCAAGCTTTTTTCCTGACTGAATGATTAAATTTAGATGTCTTTCTTTATGTTCAATGTTCATGCAATTCAGATATAATTATCAAAAAGGGCCTGAAGAGCTGCTGATCATCTCTGGTCTCTGAGCAGCTTTTAAAGCATAGGTTTGATGTTTAAAATACAAGTGATTTCATTAGTACTAAGTAATAAAAGAAAATGGGTAAAAATGTAGAAAAGATAGTTTCACATCTGGGGAAACTTGTAGTGTTTCAGTTCAGCTGCTTAGTCAGATCAGTTCCTCTGCAGCTGAGGGAGGTTTTTGTACGACGTTCTATCACTGTGTGAACGAGCTGTGACCCTGCTGACAGTAATAAACTCCTGCATCTTCAGCCTGAACTCCACTGATGGTCAGAGTGAAGTCAGAACCAGAACCACTTCCACTGAAACGATCTGGAACTCCAGACTGACGAGTTGTAGCAAATCGAATCAGGAGTTTAGGAGCTTCTGCGGGTTTCTGAAGGTACCAGTGGAGGTAGCTAGAAAACACCAGAACTGGTTTTACATTTGATGGAGACAGTCTGACCCTGAACAACAGACTTAGATCCAGGAGTCTGAGTCAGGATGATGTCTCCTGATGAACCTGGAAAACATGAAAAATTGCAATTGAAAGAAATAATGTTAAAATATGAATGACTGATAAACTGAAAATATTAACAAAAGCTTTATGACTTGTTTCAATAATTCTCCATAATGACAGAATCATCATTTTCATGAATCTGATTTCTTCCTCAAACCAAGTTCTGAGCAGAGAGTCTCACCCTGAACCAGGAGCTCCAGGATGGTCAGCAGTAGAGTCAGTAACATCATCATTGTGCTGCTGGTGGTTCAGTGGCTCTGAAAGGCCTGGACAGCCTCTGATCAACACTGACCTCTTAACAGCTGGGAGCAGAGAGGGAGGACACATATGCAAACACACAGAGTCAGTCACATGGAGCTGAACTGGCAGCATGTTTCCTCCTGAAACACATCAACATCATTAGAAAGCTGAATGGAGGAAGTTTGAAAAGGTTCCTGTTGATCTTTTATCTGTTAGACATTAATGAAGCAACTAAATGAAGTTAAATCCGTAATAAATAAGCGAAGGGAGAGTGGGAAAAACAACAGACAACAAACCTTTGGGAAGTAGCTTAAATAAATGTTCCAGTCAAAGGTTTATTTTAATTGAGTGAAAATAATTCACACCTTTATCTCATCCAGACTAAGCAAATCTCCAAGTCTCTATGATAATTATTCTGTCCTTTCTTTGTTCATTTTAACTTTAGAGCAAAAAGACCTTTGAATCAACATCTAATCCTTTTTTATTGTTTTACTTCTCTGTGATTAAGGTATCTAAAGAAAGTTAGTTTAAAAGATATTAAACAAACCAAAATCAGATTAAGTGAATCCAAAGTTTTATTGGTATTTTGTTTGCTGAATTTTATGCTGATTAAATTTGCCATATTAGTGAATTAATGAACTTAATATTAAATACATATAAACAAACTTTTGAACTAGATGTGAAAGTTAATTTATATTCCTGTTTTAATACAGATACTGATTGGAATAAATTCTGTTAAATCGTTAAAAGTGACCAAAGTAGCTTTGCTTTCCTTCCCGATTGCTTCATGTTTATATTTATCTTTATAAAAACATGTTAAATATGTTTTGTTGAGTGTCTGTATTCATAGTTTAATCAGACTTCTTTAATCTTGAAAAAGGAATACATTTTTCTCTTATCATTGTTCATGATCACATAAGGCTGCATCAAATGAAGTAGGCCATTCTTGCCAAACTGTCGCTACATTAAAGAACTGAGCTGCAGGACAGGACAAGATGTTGGTCTACAAAATTTAAATGTTTAGTTTCATAAACTTATTTATTAAAATTAGAACAAATTGATGAGTGCAAATATGTTTACTGTTAATCCTGATTCTTTTGTTTTAGCTCATGCAGTTGTTATCAGTGGAATGGCTGGAATGTATCTATATATTTTCAGATTCAATATTATATTATATTATTAACTTTGGATTTTGAAAAATCACATTTTGTCTTAATAAGGCTTAATGGAACATAATGTTGTGTGTTCAATGTGTTCAGTGAACTGTATCAGTCTCTGCAGTAGATCCCAGCTGCGGAACAAAGTTCAGTTTCTGTTCAGCCAGACTGAGGGAGGTTTTTGTACGATGAGTTTTCACTGTGTGAACACAGGACCACTGTGAAGACTCTGACAGTAATAAACTCCTGCATCTTCAGCCTGGACTCCACTGATGGTCAGAGTGAAGTCTATTCCATTTCCTGCTCCACTTCCAGTGAATCTGGAGGAGATTCCTGAAAATCTATCAGATGTTCTGTAGATCAGAGCTTTAGTAGCTTCTCTTGTTTTTTGGTGGTACCAGGCAAGGTAGTACTGTGAGCCTGAGTAGTGAACTACTTGTCTGTTAACCTTACAGTCAATAGTGACAGTCTGACCAAGCTGCACTGATTTGGCTGCTGGCTGAGTCACAACAACATTTTGTCCATCAGACCCTGAGGAGAAAAAAGAAACACTGGAGATTAGATGATCAGACTAAACACCAAACGATTTCCATTAGAAAGGAAAAATATTTTCCTCCACAAAACAGAAGATTATTTTCCTCACCCTGAGTAAAGCAGATGAGAGTCCAGATGATGAAGCTGATCAAAGTCATATTTTCTGTCTTGCGTTGTCATGAAGGACAGCTGTCAGTCCTCCAGTGTTCAACTTTAAGGACTATAAACTCTCCCAGATAACTGGAGCATGGAGCTGCTGATGTAAAGTGGCTCTATGGAAATGATCTGACCTGCTGTAATTGGAAATAGGATCTGTGATGACATTTGTTTGTCTTATAAGTAGGTAGGAATTTGTTGAAAACATTTAATGTCTTTTGCAAACCTGAGATATTTTAGTTAAATATTGTTTGCCTTTAAAAGCCTCTCTCCAGCACAGATTAGCCAAAATGTTATTCTGAAAAGTTGAAATCAGACAAACCTTTTTTAAAGATTAGAAAATGATAAACCTTTATTCATAACATCTTTATAAAATATAAACTTTGCATATATTTAGAAGTGCAATTTTATCAGAACAGTAAAATGTAACAAAAGTTTGTATAGTATTTAAAGTCCAGTCTATATATTTTCTCAGATCTTAAGTTGTAACAATGATTGAAATAATTTTTTAGGCATTGTATGTAATTTTTTTATTTTATTATTAACAATTTTAAGTACATGCATTTTTCATACTTTTTTTGCAGCAGAAGGACGGCCTCTACAGCTGGAGCAGCACCCTGAGGCTCCCTGCAGACCAGTGGAGGAAGGTGGGCTCTGTGACCTGTGAGGCCACCCAGGGCTCCCAGTCTGCAGTCACCCAGACACTGAGGAGAGACCCGTGCTCCCAGTCCTGACCTGATTCACTCAGACAATTATAATGGATTGAATCTGTCACTGCTCTCATTCTTTCTCTTATGATTGTTCTGTATTTTAAAGGAATTATGTTTGCTTTGTCATTTTGGTAACTATTCAAATTGTCTACCTTTTTTATAATTCAGTTACTAAATTAGCTGAAATTCACTCCATTCTGCATTTTATGTCAGTAAGCAAGCTTGTATTTACCAACCAGTGGTTTGAATTTAGTTTTATTTCTGTATGTATAATCTACATGCAACTCAGAAATAAATACTGTAGGATTTTTTTATTTATTTTTTATTTTTTACAGTGTGCTGTCTGACGATGTGGCAATAAGAATAACTGTCTTCATATCAAACAGAGCCCAACAGGTTTTGCTTTCACAAGTGGAGGAGTACAGCACCATATGTATTTAATGCTCTGAACTTCCATGTCATTATGATTTTTTTGCACCATGTTTTTTCCCCATAATGTTTATATTTGATCACTGCTGCACTTTATGAAATGAAAATGTCATGAAACATGTACAAAACGAAATTTTGTTTTGTACACACTCTGTGTATACAAAATGACAATAACAGTCTAAGATTGCTCCATGTTTATTTCTGTCTTTATAAAAACATGTTAAATATGTTTTGTTGAGTTTCTGCATTCAGATTTTAGTCAGACTTCTTTAGTCTTTAAAAATGAATCAATTTTCTCTTATCATTGTTCATCATCTCATGAGGCTCCATCATATTAAATAGGCCATTCCTGCCACATCATCATCACATTAAAAATAACTAATTCTCCTGCCATGTTTAAACATTTAGTTTCATAAACATTTTTAGTAGTTTGATTAATTAATGATTGCAATATGTAATCTCAATTAAAATATTTAGATGATCAACTTTAGTGCTTAATTAAATATAATACTGTGTGTTTAATGTGTTCAGTGAACTGTATCAGTCTCTGCAGTAGATCCCAGCTGCAGAACAAAATTCAGTTTCTGTTCAGTCAGACTGAGGGAGGTTTTTGTACGATGAGTTTTTACTGTGTGAACACAGGACCACTGTGATAACTCTGACAGTAATAAACTCCTGCATCTTCAGCCTGGACTCCACTGATGGTCAGAGTGAAGTCTTTAAAATTTCCTGCTCCACTTCCAGTGAATCTGGAGGAGATTCCTGAATATTTGGCAGATGTTCCATAAATTAGAGCTTTAGGAGCTTCTCTGGGTTTTTGTTGATACCAGGACAGGCAGGGAAGATTGTCGTTCCAGCAATCAGATATTGAAAGTGCCTGACTGGCCTTACATTCAATAGTGACAGTCTGACCAAGCTGCACTGATTTGGCTGCTGACTGAGTCACAACCACATTTTGTCCATCAGACCCTGAGGAGAAACAAAAAACATTGGACATGAGATGAGGAGGTGAAACTCAGCCACTCTCCGAATCATTTTCAAATGACAGAAAAAAAATATCCTCACCCTGAGTTAAGCAGAGGAGAGTCCAGATGAGGATTCTGATCAAAGTCATATTTTCTGTGTCTTCTGTTGTCATAAAGGACCGCTGTCAGTCATCTAGTGTTCAACTCTCAGGACTATAAACTCTCCCAGAGCGCTGGAGCATGGAGCTGCTGATGCAAAGTGGCTCTATGGAAATGATCTGATTCACTCTGACAGGGTTTTGGATCACTCTGATGATGCTTGGGGTTTTTTTGGTTTTTTTTTTTAGCAATCTAGCAAACTCTACTCCAGGGTTGTAATTATATTTCATGATACTGTATGTCCCAAGCTTCTCAGAGTGACCCAGTGGAAAGGTTTCCTTTACAACAACAGTCAAATTAGAACCTTGGCATTTTCAGAATGTTAATAGTACCTCCAGTAATAACAGATGTTAGTGAAATTTAAATATTACTTTTAACCTAAATATGGCATAAGTATGAATAAATCTGGCCTCACTATCACTATTTCAATTTTTTATGTGTGTCTTCTAATAAATGTGTGTACAAAGATTAAATAAATGTTCTAATCACAGTCAACTTAAAATGTTGATGATTCTTACATAAAATATGATTACATAAATATAAAAAATCCCATCATGATGCAGGTTTGTGTTCTCTTTAAAGTCCTTTGTTTCTACTCTATGTCTCAGTTTGTGTTCAGCTCACAAGTTACTGTAACAAGACATTTTTTAATAAGGTTTAGTGTCAGACTGGTAAAAATGTTGGAATAAAGTTTTATTCAACCAAACTAAGCAATAAACAAAATTTATTTTTTCTTGATTAAGGATTCAGAAAATTATTTGAAGAATTTAAGCTGTATCATATACTATGATTTATTTCATGAGTCTGAGCAAAAATCTATTTTTACATTTTATCATGCTTTTAGTGCATTAAAACAAAAAAAAACAAAGAAACAAACAAGACAAAATACCCGATTGTTATTTAAACTGTGTTTCTTTGGTCAATTATCTTGTTAATTATACTACCCAAAATGTTTTAATAGAAAAAAAGAAGGAAGCTGGCATCTGGGCTCTGTGGGGCCACCAAATGTGAAACTTTCATCTTTAGCCCTGAAACTTATCTGTTGGCATGGTTTATTAATGATGCGTGTCTGTTTCCAGGACCAAATCTTTCTAAGAGAGAAGTGAAACTGCAGTTTTAAACCAGCACCCTTCCATGCGAGCAGTAAGACTTTTATCAGAAATTGCAGGCTGTTACAAACAAATGCATTTATGACATTGATATATTTTAACAAGCTGAACATTAGAGTTTAACAGTAAAGTATCTGTGTGTATTAAAAATTTTATTGTTAATATTTCAAAATATTAAGATAAGAAAACATTTCAGCTGTCTATATATATATAGCCAACTGCTTTTGAATTGTTTTCATTATTGTTTCTAATCATGTGACTTATGTGGATCTAATTTTAACTGTTCTTCAATATTCATTTGAGGAAGAAACTTTTTATTGTGTTATTCATCAGAAGCATTCAGAAAGAAAAGGAATTATTTATCTCTTAAATCAGTAAAGAGTGTGGATGAGCTTGCTCTGGAGGATTTTTCTCTAGCGCTAACCCTGTAGAGAGGGTCCCTACTTCTTTTTTCTCTTGTGGTGCCCCCTTGTGGTTCCTAACCCTGAAGGAAAGCTGTGTGTGTTTACAGTGGGCATTTAATGACAGTGCTATGAAATGTGATAAAACTTTTTTTAAATTCTTTTTATGCGTTTACTTTGCCTCTACTCAGCAATGGGATAAGGTACCAACCAGTCCAAGTGTTTTCAGTTCAAACTATGTTGTTTGAGGCTCTCTTGGATGTTCCTCATCAATGAGGGTTTATCATCAGTCTTGTTTCAGCTAAACCAAATCCCTGGAAAAAAAAAATGATAAAAAAAGAAAAAAAGAAAATGCAATATCAGAAGACTGCATATCCAACCTCTACTGTTTTTACCAAATGTGACAGTAGACATATTATGTTTCTTCTTTAACAGACATGTTTAACAGACCATAGGTCAGATTCCTGTTTTTCATGTGTAAGACTTAAACTGTGCAACAATATTACATTTACATCTGGTATTATAATGTGAATTGGACCACTAGATTGTATAACATACCTAATATCTGTGGTCCTGATTCTTGATATCTCAAATTAAAAATTTTGACTAGCAACAATTGGATTACAGAGATCTGAAATGCAGTTTTAGACAACCAGAATGTTTATTTCAGATATAAATAATTTCATTTTGGCTATCTGAAAGTAACGGCCCAAAAAACATGAATGGGGTATAGTGATGTCATTTGTCCTAGTAAGAATTAAATTCAGATATCTGAAATGTTAATTTTTTTATAGAAGGAATATATTTAAAGATATCTGAAATACAAACAAATAAAACGGCCACTTAAAATAAGTAAAAATTTGTAGATATCTAAAATGTACGTCTTACTAGTAAAAATTTGATTCCAGAGTACTTAAAATTTAATTTCTACTGGTAGAAATGTAATTAGTGATATCTAAAATACAATTCTGACTAGGAGTATTGTAATTGTGACTACGTAGAATGCTTTAGTGCAATCTATGATAGAAATGTGACTAGTCAGCCTGCCTATTTTATGTTAAAGCAGAGCCTCGTTACTCTTTTGAAAGTATCTAAAACTACATTTTAGATAGGCATAATTAAAATTGAGATATCTTGAAATTCAATTTAACTATTTACAAAAATAAGCACTTTATATCTGTAATTATATTTGTACTAGCAGAAATATATTTTAGATGTCAAGAATCGTATTTCTAGATATCTGTAATGTTATATTAATTTTTGATATCCGAATTAGTAATTATGACTAGCAGTAGTAACTCTATTACGGATATCTAAAATTAGAATTCATCCTAGTCAGAATTCCTTTTAGATAGGAAGAATGTATATGTTAGATATCTGGAAGTAAAAATTAAATGTCAAAAGGGCAACTTAAAATTTGTAAAGATTTCTTGGTATTTGAAAGTTTGTTCTTAGTAGTACAATTATATTTTTGGCAGCCTGAAATGTAATATTTGCTAGCAAATGTTTTTTTTTAGGATATCTATATGAACATTTCTGACTTGTAGGAATGTAGTTTTGAAAAGGAAGAATCTTATTTTAGAGATCAACAAATGGAACACTCGAGAGGACAGCGCTTCTAATAAATGTCAAAACGGCCTGCCATACCGGTTTGCTCCCCAAGGAGCAAGGGGCGCTGTAGTTCAACTTGGCAGGAGGTCTGCGGAACCTTTACTCAGGATCAGCCACAGATTCCTCCGGACATAATTCTCCTACGGACCAGGGTCCTGCTTTGTTTACTTTTTATATTACAGCTTGAACTCCGCCAACAAATATCGTCAGAAACATTTTAGAACATCTATTTTGTTTCTTCTCCTCGTCTTATTTTTATTTCCGTTTGATCTACACAAATCTTCGTGTATGCTGATATTCCACTGCCTTGGAAAAACAAGAGCAGAGAAGGAGGATATAAAATAGCCATGTCCGCTGAGCCACTAATGTTCCCGCTGTACTCTCAGCCACATTCCGCTGCCGTGGAGCCTGTGAACAGCCCCCTATCAGAGGTGGAAACATTTAGGAATTTCCTCAGCGAGCGTCTGACGGCAGCAGTGGAGGATATTCTGGGGGTGTTCGGGACGACAGTAGCCCGATATCGGGAGCAGATAGACCGCCAGCAGCGGGAGCTGGATAATCTGAGGACCGGGGAGGGCGAGTGGAGCCGTTCTACCGGTTGGTTTGGGTTAACTTAGCCTTTAGTCTCTGCTTTTTAAATATAAGCTTACTAAAAACATCATGACCTAAAGTATATGCTTTAAATAACTTAAGTTTGATTTTATTTTGAGGATATTTTCCACAAATATTCTCAAATAATGCTGTCATTTCAGAATAATTGTAGTTATTGTGTTATACTAAATGCTTTTATAGAGCAAAACAATTAATTCGCTTTTATTGTTTGCTTAATTACACAAGAAACACGAATTTGATCATCAATAACCTGTATGCAGGGTCTCTGGGGAGAAGGAACACTTTTTGCATATGACCCTGAGGAATGGAATCACATGCAAAAAGTGCATCATCATCAATGTTAGTGTAGATTTTTTTATTAGTCCAAAAACACACATTTAAAAAACACAGACACATGCACACTTAAACCTCCTGCTTTTACTAGAACTCGAATTGTATTATATTGATGCAAAAACTAAAGAGCAGATGTCAAAAATACTATTATGAGGCTGTTTTATATTAAACGGAAAAGTTGCAACTTTCCTGTCAGCCATGATAAAATCTCCTGCTCCAGCTAATCTAAGTGATCTTCATACAGGCCAACATGTGAAGGGGAGTTCTGAGGTCAAGCCCCACTCCCACAGACTGCCACTCTGGCTCCCTGAAAATTTCTCCAATAAAGTCCAATTAAATTCAATGTTAACTGCTAAATGTACTTACCTTATGCCGTGCCTTTTCAAGTCAGGTACCCGAAAGAGCTTACCCAAGGCAAATTTATTTAAACGATTCAGTCATAGTCAGAAATGATGGACAACTAGATTGTAGTAATAGGTGCACTGGGGCACGCTGACTAAAGAATGCCATCAGATGTGTCTTTAACACATCACCTAAGGCGGGCAAAACTGGGGTTTGATCTCCAGTTCCAGCTTGAACTCCTGCATCCTGCCCTTCTGTCTCCCCATCGATATTAGTTAAAAGTAAAGTCATCACTTATTTACTAGAAAGCTTTGATCTAAATCTGAAGATGGGGGCGGCATCCAAGTCTGCATGGAGGTTTAACTTTCCTTCCCATATAGAGTCAATTTTGTGCAGTTATTGTTAAAAGTGAACAACATATTTTTTCAATGGAAATTTGGGGGGAAAAAAAGGTCAGTCCAGAAATGAAATTGAAAAACTTCTTAAACCAACACATGAACGTGTCTACTGTAGTTCTGGGTATCTTGTATTTTGCTCTGACCATTTTTTCTGACCTTGTCAAATAAAGCCTCTCTGCAGCATTATTATGCCACCACCATGTTTCAGCACAGAGATGACATACTCTGACTTTAAAAATTGTTTTTCAACCCACAATAGTTTTTATCTTGGCCAAGAAAAGTTGCATTTAAGTCTAAGTATCTCTTTGAATTTTTTTTTTTAACTGTGAAGCTCTGCTGCTCCTTCAGATTTATCACATAACTGGTGTCTTCTTTGATAACTTTTACATACTGTAAACCAGATGACTTCTCCAGGCAGTTGGTCATGCTGGATTTTATAGGGGTTAAAAACTAAAGTAGTATGCAAATGTCTGCCTTGTTTTATCTTTTTATATTTAAAAAACACTTTAAAACAATTAGCATTTTAATCTATTTCGCATTTGTGCAACACTTGTTGGTCTAAATAAAAAAAAATACTACTTGTGGTTGTTGTGTGTCAAAATATGAGAAAGCTAAGGAGTAATAGCCACAAATGTAATATTTTAGAATATTTTTATGAGGCATTGCACTGATGGGAGCATATAAGGAATCACTTAAAACAGAAAGACAATAAAAAGAGTCTTATTTTCTTTCTTTTTTCAGAGCCTCAGCAGGAATCCTCCTGGATTAAAAAGTGTCCTGAAAACCCGAGCCTTGATGTTCCTCTGTTTCAGACCGACGTTGTTGTCAGCAAAGATGTCAACACCTCTGCTGCTCCAATTAAGTCAGAAGGTGTTGATGAGGACCTTGGAGAGTCGACAGCGCTGAGTCACTTTAATTCGACACAAAATCCAGATCCTGAAGCAGCGAGTGATGAGAGAGTAATCTCTGAGGATTCTGACACTGAAAACAGCGAAGGAGGCTGGAAAGATGAAGCCAGCCTCTGGAGGTCTGAGGAAACCGTAGAGAACAAAGATCAGAGCATCACGTCAGAGCCACAGGGTTTCGCTGAGTTGTCACAGATTAGCTGCCAGGTCTGTGGTATTTCCTTCCAGAAGATGGGTTATCTGGTCACTCACGCCTCAGTGCATCAGGAAAGCTGCGGGGTCTGCGGGAAACAGATGGAACAAAATGAAAGCCTAAAGCTTCACCTCAAACGTCACAGAGAAAAGTCTTTCCGCTGCGGCGTCTGCGGGCAGAGCTTCACGCTGCGGGGGAACCTCCGCATCCACATGAGGATCCACTCTGGCGAGAGGCCGCACAGCTGCAGCATCTGCGGGAAGAGCTTCGGGAGGCGGGCGTCGCTGGTGCGCCACGTCCGCAGCCACACGGGCGAGAAGCCGTTCGCCTGCATGTACTGCGGCCACAGCTTCACAGAGAAGGGCAACCTGACGGTTCATCTACGGACGCACACGGGCGAGAGGCCGTACAGGTGCTCCATGTGCGCTCGCAGCTTCAGTCAGCTCTCCAGCTTCTACAAACATCCGTGTCAGAAGAAAGGACTGATCTGTTCGGCCATCACTGCCAGCTGACGGCTGTCACACTCCTTATCCTGTTTTTAATAACTCTAAAAACATGAAAAAATGAAATATTGTTCTTGTCTATAATTCCAGAGAACCTGCACATTATGAGAGCAAGAGTTTTATTTTTCTGATTTTTTTTTTTTTAACAGTTAGGATGACCTACTTTCCCAAATAAGGCCTGCACAGTGATGCAGTGGGTAGCACAGCTGCCTTGCAAAAGAGAAGGTTTCGTGTTTGATTCCCCGTCTTTCTGCATGGAGTTTGCATGTTCTCCCTGAGCATGCGTGGGTTCTCTACCGGTACTCCGGCTTCCTACAACAGTCTAAAAACATGACTGTTTGGTTAATTGGCATCTCTGAATTCTCCTTAGGTGTGAGTGTGTGCGTGAATGGTTGTTTGTCCTGTTTGTCTCTGTGTTGCCCTGCGGTGGACTGGCGACCTGTCCAGGCTGTACCCCGCCTCTCACCCGTAAAAAGCTGGAGATAAGCACCAGAACCCCTCGCGACCCCAGCAGGGATAAGCATGACCAAAAATGGATGGATGAAATTTTCCAAAGTAGAATTTGTTACTTGGTGTCCTGGACACTTTGTTCTAACAAATGTTAGGTGCATGTCATTTTTAATAAAGCAACCAACAGTTTAGTAACAGTTGTGCATGGGTCAGAAATTTTATTAAAACAAAATGCAATTTTTATGGTATAACTCTGTTGTTTAAAAATTTGTATTAATTTAATTGAGACCAAATCAATAACATAAAATAAGCCAACTGCTATCAGCTGGTTAATTAGCTGTGTTACCTGCTCAGGTAGCCAGCATGCTGTTGGCTGCAGCCCAGTGTTTGACATGTAGAACTTATGGCCGTCGTTCCTTTAATTTCCTTATTATTTTGTCTGGAAATATTTCCAACCAGACCGATTTCTCTTCCTTGTAAACAAAGAATTGGATTCAGAGCCTTATTTTTTTCAACCAGCTGACTGGTAGCGTCTTCAATGTCAGAGAAAAGGAGTTCTTTGCTGCTCCATCTGTGCGTTATTCAAGCATAAACATCCGTCTCTTTGCATCTCTTTAAAGGATTTTAAACTAAAGCCTTGCTTTGACGTGAATATTGAACGGCTATAAACCCATAACTTTTTGAAAAACCTCAATATGTTTTGAGACCAGTTACCGAGCCTTACCTCCTAACTATAGTACATTTGTGGCTTAAGTCAATTTATTAAGAAAAATCCTTTTTTAAACTGGCTTTAAATTCTGTATTCCCTCCCACTGCCTTAATAAATGAAAAACTTTTCCTCATCCCTCTGTAGGTTATGGTGTTTCTCTAAAGCGTTAACTTACTTTAAGTAAACTTGGTTATTGCTAATTTATTTTCTTCCTGAAATACTTTTTTTTTCTAGTTGTGTTGTACAAGATGTGTGCAGTAAATGTTAAAAATTTTCTGTTTATTACAATATTTACATTCTACCTACAAAATATGTTTTCTAAAATCACATTTTCTAAAATTCAAAGTTGCCTCTTTTAGATGCTGGTTTTTCATGTTTTTTTACTACAAATTTATTATACTTGTGGTTAAAATCAACTTAGTCTGCTTTGGATATATTTACTGAGACTTTTCTGGTACTGAAGATTACAATATTTATTTATTGGAAAGAAAACTGATGTATTATTAAATACATAAAGGATTTCCTTTTTTCAGATTCTTGTGCATTAATCAAGCTTAATTTGTCTGAGCAAATGCAATATATTAATGCTTTTGATGTCATTTTTGATCACAACTTATTCTTTTTCTAATAGCTGCATTCCTTTATATTTGCGGTTGTTGAGATTAAGAAAAACGCAGGTAACTTTTATTTTCTCAAAAATAATAAATACAGTTTGTTTTACCATGTCATAAAATCTGCTGAGAAGCTATTTTAGGGAAAATAAAAATATGTTCAAAAAATAATAAAAAGGAAAAAGAAATCCCTGTTTGCAAAAAGATCAAAATAAAACACATTTTTAAAACGAATTCTTGAGTTGTTTTGGAAAAAGCAGAGATTTAAATGTATGTTCTTTAAGTTACCAATATAATATAATTTATATATATATATATATATATATATATATATATATATATATATATATATATATATATATATATATATACATACAAAATAAATTGATCACCAAACTTTGATTTGATTTCTGGTTCATTGTGTATTTATTGACAAAATGAAAACAAATACATAGTTTGATCAAACTTTCTCTGTTATATTACTGATTATTAAAAAGATACAACAAATTGCTTTTAGATATCAAAGATATTTAAAACTGAAACTAGGGAATTAGCCAGATTAAGGCTGAAGAAATGGAACAAAGCTGTAGAAAAACCTTTTAGTTTAAAGCATAAACAAAGGGAAACAAATCATAAATGCTAGTTAAGTTAATAATTTTTATGTTTTACTTAATTACTTAGAACATTTGAATAGAATATGTTGAAAAGTGATTATAGGGATGTTTTTCGATTATCTGGCAAGTTCTAATGATAATTTAAAATGTAAAAATGCCAAACAATAGCAAAAAAAAAAAAAACTTTTAAAACAGATTTTTAAAAACAGTGATAACTATTGTAATTTTTTATTGTAATAATTAAACTTCACAATAAAAAATGTGGGCAAGTTTAAGACTAAAAACAAATCATGTTTCCATGTTTTAACCCGTGAAATCTAAATTAATCAGACCAGATATTTATAAATTGATGAATGTAGTGAGTAGGGCGTGTATTGAGGCTTCCTAACCAGCTGGGGGCGCTGGAGGACTTTCTAGACATTTATGAATAAAATCTGGTGAACACAGCATGTATTGAGGCTTCCTAACCAGCTGGGGGCGCTGGAGGACTTTCTAGAGATTTCTTCGAACCTCTCAGAGAAGTTAACCTGGAACTATAGCTCATAACACAAGTCACCGGATCGCCACAGTTTTTATCCGTATTTCGACCATATCTCCTTTGTTTTGGAGAGTCTTAAGTTACAGCAGACATGTCTAAAATCGAGATGTTGAGGCTTCTGATCAACCAGCGGCTCACTGCGGCTGCAGAGGAGATTTTCGGGGTTTTTGGGAGAACCATAGCGGAATATGAGGAGGAAATCTCCCGGTCCAGGCTGGAGATCGACCGGCAGCGCCGGCTGCTGGAGCTCTGCAGGAAGCCGCGCATCTCCCTGCAGGCCGACAGCTCAGGTAGGCAGACAGCCTCTGTTCATACATGGAGCCCCAGCTTTGGCTTTAAAAGGAGGTAAAATGTTCCCATTGAATCTTTAGCATTTAGGTTCCTGATGAAGTGACAACTTTAAATTCATATGTACAGCTATTACAACTTATTTTGCGTCAAACATAACATAGAATAGTTTATTTTTGTATTTTTCTAAGGCTTGTTTGGTCAGTTCTCTTAAGAAAAAAAAATCTTCCATTTCACTATTTCAGTTTAATGATCAACAGCTGTTTGTGCATCAAAAGCAGAAATTTCTGACTCCTTTAACCAGAACTTTTCAGGCTAATCTTCCACTTTTGGAGGCCTTCAATCCTCTTAAAGACAAGAAAAGAATGTAATGAAATCAATGGTTTTCAACTTTCCTGAAAGTCTGCTCTTATTTATTTTTCTTAAATTGTTTATTCAGCTTTAATATTTAGATTTAATTGTTTTAAAAATGAAGAAGCAATTAAGTCCAAATTGCATCTTTGCTGATACAAAATCAGTGAACCTCCCTGCTTTATCAGCCCAGGGTTTTGAACACATTGGCAGCAAAGGTACTCAACTTCCCACTAATAAAGTCTAAGGCTGCAACTAGTGATTATTATTTAGATTTTATTCGATTAATAATCGGATAGCAAAAGGTTCCATAAAGGAGGCTTTTTATTAACTTAAAAAATATTTCTCTTATGTCAATATGCTCTATCCAGAAGGTTTTAGTTCCACTTGTTTTATCTAAAATGCAAAATAGTCATATTTCTTTTCCGATTTTTTGTATAGTTATTGCTCAAGATGTTTCGCTCTGTCAGCTAAAGGCGTATTTTACATTTTCTATACTACAGTTAACGATTAATCTATTACTAAATTAGTTGATGATAATTTCAATAATCGATCAATCCAATTAATAGTTTCAGCCCTAATACAGTCCAGTCCTTTTCTTCTACAAAACCCTTCTGATTGTCTCTATTTTTGGAATAGATAAACTGATTCAGAGTTTTTAGTTTAGGATCGGGGTCAGAATCTAACATTTTTAAAGACTCTGCTGGCCGAGAGAGGGTAATAATAAGGAGTAGAGAGTCATTTTTTTTCTTTTAATAAAATTTGATCTTTTTATGACCTTTCATCTTCACAAGCCCTGGAAATAAAACCATAAGTGGTTTAGAGATGCAAAAAGGAAGTGGAAAGGAACAAGAGCATAACACCAATAGAATGAAGCCATGAATTGGGAATAACGTGATCCAGAACCATGTGTGTTGTGGCTCTTGAAGTGCTGACTCCAGCTGCAATTCACACCTTTCCTAAACACTTCAACTTCTCTGCTTTATAAACCTCTTAAGGGTTTAGTCACATTGAAAGCAGAGGGACGTTTTTCCTTCTACTTAACTTCCCATTTATACGACCTCAAACTCAGCAGTGTTTAGGCACCTTGTTCCCCAATGACTTATTGTAGCTGATTCTCTGCATAGGAGGAAGGAGTCATATTTGGAGCAGATATCAAGTCAGGATTGTTTCTTTCTAAATTTACGAGCATGGATTAAAACATTTTTTTATCCTTTTGATAATCAAAATTTCTGAAAAATGCTAGACTTCATGTTTCCATTTGCTGTAACCCATCATTGTCAAAATGTACAGAAATAAAATCTTGTAATATTTTGTCATATATATTTTCAGTGTGTTGCTAATTTGTGGAAAAAATGTTTAAACCAAAATTATTCATGGCAGAAAAAATGACTATTTGGGTTGTGTTTTCTGCAGCTGTCTCAGATCAGCGGGACTGGAGCTCCAGCCTGGATCTAAATGAAGAGGAACCTTCTACTCGCGTCAAAGAGGAGGAACAGGAGCAAGATGTGTGGATCGATCATCCAGATGAGCTG